CTTTTGTTCGGAGTACAGTGTTTTGTTACAGGGCCCTGTTTCCTTTGTCCGAGTTCGGAGACCCCGGCCACACATATAAACCATACGGTTCCGATTTCGGAGTCCCCGGCTGGTAGTGGTTAACAATCAAATGTTTGATAAGTTAATTGAATAGTAGGATATTTAGCACAGCCCTAGTTCCAGTGCCTCTGTCTTTATGGAGCACTGCATGTTGTGAGTGGAAAATATTCTTGAATAGGGACACACTAGTCCGGAGTTAATATTGTGTGAGCATGTAAATTGTAGACCGTTGTAATGTATTGTTCCCGTTCAGGAACATTGGTTGTTCCATGAGGGAGCAGCAGTGTTCTCGTTGGAAGTTCTTTGGCATTCTGGCTTTTCTGAGATGGTCCCTAAAAGTCGCCTTGCTTTGCTTCTTTCCGCAGAGCCTCTGAGTCCCGGCGGGTACAGTCGAGGTGGCCTGTCCAGCGGCGTGGTAGCGGCCATCGTTTGTGGTGCGGTGGCCATCGTCTTGTTCATTCTCATCCTGGTGGCCATCGTCTGGCAGCGCAAGCGTGACCCTGCAGGCTGGATTGGCAGGAAACGCCTCAACCCAGATGCATTGTGGATCCACAAGAGGTAAGTCCGGCCATGTTTGCCAGCCGGCCGCCGGTGTCGAAGTCAATCGTTTCCCCACAGTATTTTACTTCAGAAGTGCCCCACGAGGTAATCACGTGAACGGTAACGGAGACATTACTTAGCTACTATTAATGCACTCGCTGGTTGCAGCAAAACCAATGCTTTTTGAGTCGAAAAAATTTTCCTTGCACAAACTGAAACACTGGCAGTTACATGTATGTTAAGCTACAAGCTTGATTGGTTGAGGGCACTGTAATGCTATAAATAGATTCAGGTTGGGGAGGGGGTACGCTTCCTCCACACGGGTGATGCAAATGGCGTGGTTCCACCTCAACGTTTGCCCAGATGGTGTGCAGTATGCAGCCAGTGCTGCTTAATACAGTCATTTTCACTAGAACACCGGATGGTTTACTCTGACTCTGTAATGCACCGGAGCCAATCTGGGAAAGACACCATTAGTATACGTGTGCACCGGTTTGCATGCACGTGGCCATAGAGGCTTTGCAGGGCAGCCATCTTGTAGGGTAGTTGTTTTGTGCCAGGGAAACCTCCATTGTGCATACTCTTTGGAGCAAAAGCACTGGCCTGCAAGATGGCTGCCATGCAAACCCTCTGTTAGTAGGCACAGCAAATTTCATCTCAGTGATACAAGCCATCAGTGTCTTTAATGAGCCAAGGAGTGCGCCCAGCTGAGTCGGAATGCACCACAGCAGTGCAGTCTACGTCTTCTTTCGTCCCTCTCTGTTCTTTCTCCTGTGCTAACAAAATATGTTTCTGTGAATATTGCCATGATTACACGACTGCACATTCCAGGCTGGATAAAAGTAGCCTCGACTTTTGTTACCTTTAACCACTTCGCACCGG